ATCATATTTGCCTGTGTGTTCTTACTGGGAGTGTGCATGGTTTCACTGTGCCTTTGTGAGTTTATAGGTGCAATTGTGAGTGGAAACAGTTATCTATGTTAGCCCCACACAGGATGTACCCCACCTTTTTCATGATTAGACCTTGGATAGATTTAACATGTCATATCCCTCACCTCGAATTGACCTTGAATTGGGTAAGTGGAAGGAAATGTTTTTGGTTTTCGGTGAATAATACTGATAAATGACTAAAATGCTCATCCACTTGTCTATAGACTAAAACTGAAAACAGTGACTGTGGTTTGGTGTGGAAAAGCCCCCGAACATGCAAGTTGAGTGTCATCATCCCACAAATTTCAACACCAAGAAAGATGTAAAGGAGAGCACAGAGTTTAGGTCTCTTAATAGCAAGCTGTGTGTTTTAGATCACTATCGTTGGGAGAGCGTTGAGCTTTAAGTCCCCTTGGTGGTCTGTACAGTGTGCGGTGGCACTGACCTGGATCTTTCTGCCTGTGATGAGTGAGTTCAGCTGGCTGTGCTACAGCGATGAAGCAGCTGGGTTACAGATAAACATTTTCGTGGTTTCAGTGTGACTGGTGAGCATACTGAGCCATAAGAAATGAGAATCACATACAGTACAGTAGCTTTATAGACAAAATAAAAGATAGAAGTCTTTCTGTTTTAATTGTTTTACCAGCAGCATTAAGTTTATAACATGAACACCTTGTTTTATTGCACTTTGGCCCATTTCTGTGTTTCTGATTTTACTATACCCTCTCCCCAGTGTGAAACAAGGAAGAAAGATAAAGCTTCTTTGCAGCTACTTCTTCTACATAACATTTAAAAGTCTAATACAGGATCGCGTTTGCTAGTGTATTCTTGGGAATTATTGGGAAAATAATTCTGACGTCCACTTAAGAAAGACTGCACACAATCTATCTTATACTGAGTCAGACATGATTAATGACGAGCTAAACTTGATGATGCAACTGGACGAATAAACTCGTAAAGGAGCGAGGCTTTCGTTTAAAGAACCCAATGAATGTTCGTTGCCAAGAGATATAGAAGATGTTCAGACTGTGGTTTTTCAAATCTACATAATTAAACATCTGTGTTCTAAAAACAAACAAAAAAAAGGAATTATGAGTTTTCTAAGGAAAAACTAGTATAAACAAACCAGTAACCGTCGTGGGGCGACCGTGGTTCAGGGGGTTGGGAAGCTCATCTTGTAACTGAAAGGTTACTGGTTTGATCCTCTGCTCTGTCTGTCTTGGTCTTTGTGTCCTTGGGCAAAACACTTCACCTACTGATGGCGTGATATGGCGCTTCTGTCAGTCTCCCCCAGGCATAGCTGGACTGGCCATCGGGCATACCGGGCATTTGCCCGGTGGGCTGATGGTGATTTTTCGTTTTTATGGGCCGATGATTTTTTTAAAACTTTATTTTATAACAGTATAAACAATGAAAGGTGATGGACTGGCCAGATGCTGGCAGATGTGTAAAAATAACTAAAAAAAAATAGTTGTTTGGTGGTGGCTATGGTGGAGCTGCCACAAGAGGCCAGGTGGATGAGGGAAAGGGGAAGCAGGAGGAGCAGAGAACGCTTTCTGAGAGACAAATAACACCAGGATCCTTTTTTATGTAGCTGACAGCTGGTAACTGTGCAGGGGCGGGTCTAGCAAAGCTTTGCCAGGGGTCCAGGTGGGGCATTAACAGGGAAAGGGGGGCACAAAGGAATACTTTTCTTTCTTATTCTCATTTAAAATATCTAGCTTTTATTAAATAATTATCTGAATCTTACAACCAAAGTTTTTATCTGATGTACAACGTATAGAAATCATACATATACCAACAAGACAGTGTACATCACTGTCACAACAGCGTTTGTTTTCATTCAAAGGCTTTATGGTTTTTCCTATATTACCTGGTGGGCCGGTCTCTAGTCAAAGTGCCCGGGCCGATTTTTTGTCCCAGTCCAGCCCTGGCCCCAGGGCAGCTGTGGCTACAACTGTAGCTTGCCTCCACCAGTGTGTGAATGTGAGAGTGAATGAATAGCGGAATTGTAAAGTGCTTTAAGTGTTTCGAAAAGCGCTATATAAATGCAATCCATTATTATTAACCCAACAGAAGCGCTGATCTTTTCTTTTTTATGTTTTAGTCTGTTACTTATGGCAGACTACACCATGCTGTTACTTACAAATAAAAAAATATGTCTCTCTAAATGTTGGTACCTGTACAAAAAAATGTAAAGACAAGTTCATCAGGTACCCTTCAACAGTAACTCCATCAATTTCACCCCCTAGGTGGGATCAACCAGTATAGAATATATGAGGCTATTTCAGCTTCTTTTGGTGAAAGTGAGAATCAAATGTCCTACTACTTGAACAAAACAATTTCAAAAGATAGTGGCTGTCATTGTATTATGTAATATTTCCCCAGTATTTGCTTGGTATCTCTTTCAAGAAAACAACAAATATCTGGCATCAGATCTTTGACTCATCTGAGTTATGTCTAGCTGATATAAGATTTTTTGTGTTAGTAATTAACTAATTTCCAGATGTTGTTGTGAGAACAAGAAGGGCAGAGGAAGGGACATTGCAACATAAGAAACATTATTGGTCTTGCCACAGAGTAACCTCCCTTGGAGACTCTGTATCTGGGTGTGTCTTTTGTCGCTACTAAACAACTTCCTAGGAATACATGGTACATGGGATAGGTTATTTCAAATCCACGATCACATAGTGGAAAATCATTCTCCATGAATGATTACCATTACGAACTCTAGCTTCTGCCAGTACAGTTTCACGTGAAATTGTATTTCATATCACAAAGTAGTTAACAATGTCTCATAAAAAGTGTGTTTATAACTGTGTGCAGCGTGAGTCAGCATAGAGGGTTGAAAATATTGAATTGAATCATTGAGCATTCATGAATCCGTGGTATTTGGATGTGTCTGAAACTGCCTGGATTAATGTTCATTATTAATGAACTGCAGCCAAGACTCAAAAC